TACTACTACTAACTACTACTACTACTACTACTACTACTACTACTACTACTACTACTACTACTACTACTACTACTACTACTACTACTACTACTACTACTACTACTACTACTACTACTACTACTACTACTACTACTACTACGACAAATACTACTACACTACTACTACTACTACTACTACTACTACTCACTACTACTACTACTACTACTACTACTACTACTACTACTACTACTACTACTACTACTACTACTACTACTACTACTACTACTACTACTACTACTACTACTACTACTACTACTACTACTACTACTACTACTACTACTACTACTACTACTACTACTACTACTACTACTACTACTACTACTACTACTACTACTACTACTACTACTACTACCCCTCCCCCTCCCCCTCCTTCGTCTCCTCCGAGAAGGCTCTTCTTTCAGAGGCTCCCGCCAGGCCCTCCTGTCGGAGGCCCCGGGAGGAGGCGGCCCCGGGGCCCAGGGCCGCCTCCTCCCCTTCCGGTCCGAGGAAGGCCTCAAACCGTCGCAGGACGGCTCTCGCGAGCACCCGCCCGGCGGCCACGCCCGCTCCGGACGAGCGGTCAAAACGCACCCATGCCCGTAGGGGGGGTCGGAGGGAGGGAGGGCCGGTCTCGGAGAAGAACAACGTCGGAGGTGGACAGACCTCCTACCCTGACGCGTCGAGTAAGGAATTGGCCGTTTCCGGTTCGCGAGAGGGCGTCGCGGCCGTCGTTTTTGCGGGTCCAGGTCCGTCGATTTCGGCCCCAGGCCGTTCTCACTAAAGGGAGGTTTGCTACAGGGAGGTTTGATTCCTAATTTCAGGGGGCGCGGGAGGTTTATACTAGACGGAGGTTTACTAAAGGGAGGTTTGATTTCACTAAAGGGAGGTTTACGAAAGGGAGGTTGAATAAAGGGAGTTTTACTAAAGGGAGGTTTACTAGAGGGCCCACATGTCGATTCCTGACTTAGGGGGGCGGGGCTGTCCCGAGCCCCCCCTCGGGGTGAGCGGGAACCCCTGTTGACCATGTCAAGAGTTCCGATTTCGCTACCGCACCCACGAGTGGCCAAAACTGACGTTCAAGCACCCCCCCCCAAAGTCAGGAATCAGCATGCCCACGGGGGGGGTCGGAGGGAGGGAGGGCTGGTCCCGAAGGCGAAAGACGGCCTAAGCATAAACTGGGGGCGCTCCGCGCGGATTTCTTGGATCCGCGCTGGGCCCCCCCCCGCGGCGCACTTGGCGCGCTCCGCGCGCCAGGGAGGGGGGCCCAGCGCAGATCGAGGAAATCCGCGCGGAGTGGCGAAAGTTCCTGTTTGCGGCGTTTATCTATATATATATATATATATATTGTTTTTTATGTTTTTCTCCAGGTTGTCGGTTTCCGGTGCGGGTGGTCGGACCCTGGGGGAGGCTCCCGTCGGATCGGGGACCCCAGTCCGACAGCACGGGTGTGGGTGTGTGGGTCTGTGTTGTGTGTGCTTAGTTGCCTCGATACGCCCGTCTTGAAACGCAACACGTCCCGTGTTCAAGACGTCCGTGTCAATACGTTGCGTGTTGGCTCCACGTATTGGCCCACGTTTTGGCGAACGTATCGCGTCGGACCTACGTTTTCAGTCCACGTGTTGAGCTCCGTATCAATACGCTACGTGTCGCGTGTTGCGTATCGGGGCAGCTAAGTGTGTGTGTGTGTGTGTTGTTCGTTCGTCACCTCCCCTCTCACGGGCAACGTTGGGGGAGGTAGGCTCCGGGGGCTGGGCGGATGCATCGACCACCAGTGCAGTGAAGACGCTGAAGCAAAAGGGCCGTCCTGGCTCGGGAGGGGCTCCGCTGCTCGGGCGTGACCGCGGCTCGCCGTGGCCAGAAATGCCCGTTCGTTCCTTACTCGGCGTGACTGTAGCCATATCATCGCCGAGAGGGGCCCGATTCGGCGTCAAAGTAGGAACCCTACACTCGCCGATCAACGATTCAGGGAACTAGATGGGCGGCGGGGGTAGGGTTCGGAATTCGTCGGACACGTGGGGAACTCCGAAGTCTACCCCCGCCTCCCATCGATGCGAGAGAATCGATGGGCGACGGGGGTAGGGTTCGGAATTCGTCGAACACGTGGTGAACTCCGAAGCCTACCCCCGCCTCCCATCGATTCAAGAGAATCGATAGTTGGCGAGGGTAGGGCTCGGAGGTCGCTAGCTACGGATCGCCCACCCCGCCCAGGACCGCGCGGGCAATGCCGCTGCCTGTAGTCAACCCGCATAGTAAGGATGAGCAACCTTCCCAAGGGTACCCTTGCGTCTCTGCCTCGTCGGTCCATCCTTGGCCTCTTTCGTTGGCCGAGCCCCGCCCGAAGTACTTCGACATGGGCGTCCAGGGTCCTTGCTCCTTATCGCGCATCCTTACTGTACGGGCCGACTGTATCGCCGCTCTATCGGCGATGTGTCGTCGATTCTCCAGGCCGGTGTTCCCTCGTCTGGGCTTGTCCCCCGCTCCTCCTCCTCCTCCTCCTCCTCCTCCTCCTCCTCCTCCTCCTCCTCCTCCTCCTCCTCCTCACTCCTCCCCGCTCCCCGCTCCCCGCTCCCCTCGCCCCCCCCCGAGCGTCCAGGCCTGGGACATCCGCATCCGGCAGCGCGCGCGGGGCGCGGCCAGCGGCAGGGCCCCGAGCGAGCTGAAGCTGATGGAGCTGCGCGCGGCGCTGAGCGGGGAGGATCGCCGGGGGGGGGCGGCGGGCGGGCCCTGCCCTGCCTCCGGATCCGCCGTGATCAACCTGGTGGACCTGCCTGTCCCGCTCGAGCCCAGGGGGCCCCTTGCCCGAAGGCCCCGTGGTCCCGAGGTGCCCCGCGTCCCTTCTCGCCCCTGCCCCCTTCGTCACGGAGCCTAGGGGTACAGGCTCGTGTGTGCCGCAGCCCGCTTGGGTTCCACGGTGCTGTCCCGCGCCCTGGCGGGGAGGATCGCCTGGGGGGCGTCGGACCCTCACCGCCCACCAAGCCGCCCCAGCCCAACCCGACGGCCCCGATTTGCCCTCTGTTTCCAATGGGGGGGGGGTCGGGGCACACGTTGGAAGAACACGTGTGAAGCCCGTACCGCCCCCCAACCCGAAATTCGGGTCTTCGGATTGGGTTGGGGTGGTCTGATAGGTAGTCAGACCCTGCCCTGCCTTCGGATCCGCCGTAATCAATTTGGTGGATGTGCCGACTTGGAATACGATCGGAAGCGCACCCCAAACGGTCAGACCCTGTGCACGCGCGCCGCTACCTTATTGGCGGCGAGCCCCCCCTGGTGTTCCTTCGTACTTCGTAGACTTACATGGAACAAAAGGGGCCTCGTTCCTTATTTATCGTTCCTTAGGTCAGGCCGAATACTCTCTGCTCCACCGCTGCCTCCTTACTCCTCCTCCTCCTCCTCCTCCTCTTCCTCCTCCTCCTCCTCCTCCTTCTCCTCCTCCTCCTCCCCCTCCTCCTCCTCCTCCTCCTCCTCCTCCTCCTCCTCCTCCTCCTCCTCCTCCTCCTCCTCCTCCTCCTCTCCCCCTCCCCATCCTCCTCCCCCTCCTCTTCCTCCTCCTCCTCCCTCCTCCTCCTCCTCCTCCTCCTCCTCCTCCTCCTCCTCCTCCCCCTCCCCATCCTCCTCCCCCTCCTCTTCCTCCCTCCTCCTCCCCTCCTCTCTCCTCCTCCTCCCCCTCCTCCTCCTCCTCCTCCTCCCCTCCTCCTCCTCCTCCTCTCCTCCTCCTCCTCCTCCTCCTCCTCCTCCTCCTCCTCCTCCTCCTCCTCCTCCTCCTCCTCCTCCTCTCCTCCTCCTCCTCCTCCTCCTCCTCCTCCTCCTCCTCCTCCTCCTCCTCCTCCTCCTCCTCCCCCCCCTCCTCATCCTCCTCCTCCTCCTCCTCTGCTCTCTGCTCTCTGCCCTTGTTCCTCCCTGCTCCCTTCACCGCTGCCCAATCCTGCTCCACCTGCGCCCCGCTGTCCTCGAGTTTCACCGAGTCCGCCTGCCCCTCCATCATCCACTCCACACATGTTGTCTCCTCTCTGCCTCTCCCTACAGCAGAGGGAAACAACTACACGCCGGTTGTTGAAAGTAGGTATTCTTGGATTCCCAGATCCCAATCTGCTTCAAGCGCCTTCCTACTTCAAGAATCGACATGCTTTTGCTGTGTTTTGTTATTCTTTGGGAGGACCTGGACCCAATCCACTATATCCGCCTTCCTACTTCATATTTCTACCTACTTCTTCCGACCGACGTGTAGTGGACATTCCCCCTCTCCCCCCGAACTCGAAGTTGGCACGCGCGGAGGAGACTGCGTCCGAAGTGCAACACATCAGACCCACCGCCAAGTTTGGATATGGGGGGAGGGGGAGGCGTTGACCGATGAATGTGTTAGTGTTCGCTATTTTTTCCGAGGCCCGCATGGTTGCGTGGGGGTAAACTTTCCCCAGTCGGTCTCTTGATCTGGCTGCGTGAGGGTGAGCCCTCCTCAGTCTGCCTCTCGATGTGGCTGCATGGGGGTACAGGGGTAAGCCTTCCCCAGTCGGCCTCTTGATATGGCTGTGTGTGGGGGTGAGCCTTCCCCAGTCTGCCTCTCAATATGGCTGCGTGTGGGTGAGCCTTCTCCTGTCTGCCTCTTGAGAGAGCTGTGTGGGGCTGAGCCCTCCCCAGTCTGCCTCTCGACATGGCTGCGTGTGGGGATGAGCCTTCCTCAGTCTTCCCCCTGATATGGCCGCGTGTGGGGGTGATCCCTCTACGGTCTGCCTCTCGTTCCTGCTGTGTGGGAGTGAGTTTTCCCCAGTCTCGCGCCGTCCGTTCCACTTTCCCATCCCGCCATCCACTTCCGCTTTCCCATCCCATCTCATCCCGCTCCCCACCTCCCGCAAGCGTGATGCCTCTTGGCATAGCTCCGTGGGCTTGCGCCTTCCCGCGTCTGCCCTCCGACCTGGCCGTGCGCTGGTGAACTTGCTCCGGTCCGCCTCTTGGTGTAGCCGTGTGGGGGCGAGCCTGCCCCAGCTTGTTTCTCGATATGGCTGCGTGTGTGGGGGGATGGGCCTTCCCCAGTCCGCCCCCTTGATCTGACTGTGTCGGGGTGGGCCTTCCCCAGGCGGCCTCTTGACATGGGTACGTGGGGGCCCCTCATATGGCTGTGTGGGGGTGAGACTTCCCATGCTGCCAGGTCCGCACACTTGCTACCCGCCCGATCTCTCATCCCTTCTGGCCCCGCTCTCGTCGCCACTGCGACTTCTCCCTCCCTCCTTCGATTCCCCACAGCCCGTCCCTCCATTTTCTCTTTCACGCCTCTGGTCTCCGCTCTGCCTCTTGATATGGCTGCGTGGGGGGGGTTCGGATGCAACTCCTGGGAGGTCAAATTCTGATTTTGCCCTGGTCCGAAATCCGGCTTAATCCCGTTTAATCCCGCGCAATCCGGCTTAATCCCGCTTAATCCGAGGCCCACTCTGGCGTAACAGCCCCCCAATGGGGCTCAGTCTTCCTTGATCCTTCCGACGAAGACCTCCCAGTAGTTCCCTCCTAAGGGGGGGGCTTTCCCCAGTCTGCCCTCTCGACATGGCTGCGCGGGAGTGGGCCTTCCCCCGACTCGCGCTGCTTGCTCCACTTTCCCCGCCCCAGCACGTCGCTGTGCTGTGGCCCTCGGTGGTTAGGCCCTGCACCATGTCCAGGGGCCAGCCACCCTGCAGGCCGCCAGTGTCGTCGTCGTCGTCGTCGTCGTCGTCGTCGTCGTCGTCGTCGTCGTCGTCGTCGTCGTCGTCGTGGTCGCTCGCTCGATCGTCGTCGTCGTCGTGGTCGTGGTCGCTCGTCGTGGTTGCTCGTCGTCGTCGTCGCTCGTCGTCGTCGTCGCTCGTCGTCGTCGTCGTCGCTCGTTGTCGTCGTCGTCGTCGTCGTCGCTCGTCGTCGTGGTCGCTCGTCGTCGTCGTCGTCGTCGTCGTCGCTCGTCGTCGTCGTCGTCGTCGTCGTCGTCGCTCCTCCCTCCGCCCCCCCTCCCGCGGAGGAGGGCCCGGCCGCGGCCCCGGTTCCGGACACCGCACGGGCCGCGCTGGAGCTGCTGCTGGCCACCTTCAAGAGCAACGAGGCGCTCCATCGCCCAGCCGCCGTCGCCCTCGTCCTCCTCCGCCTCCTCCTCCTCCTCCTCCTCCTCCTCCTACTTCTCCTCCTCGCGCCCTGGAAACCCAATTTGGCATTTTCACCTGCCCAGCACAGCGCTTCGTGGCCCCATAGGGAGCTCCACCGAAGCCCCCGGTGGGACCGTCCGCATCCACCCCGGAAACCCAATTTGGCATTTTCACCCGCCCAGTATAGCGTTTCGTGGCCCCAGGGGGAGCGCCACCGAAGCCACCAATGGATCCGCCCGCATGCGTCCCACACACACCCAAGTTGGCATTTTCACCCACCCAGTCCATCCCTTTGCCTGAGAAAGAACTCTTCCCTGTCGCACCTCCATATATGGAGGTAATTTTGGGGAAACACGGATACTTGTCGCACCTCCTCGTTTCTTGGAGAACCTAACCTCCAATCTATGGACCTTTAACCTCTGAGATTTGCGTGGGATGGAAGATATAAGCTTTTCACTTGGAGAAACACGTATACGTGTCGGTAGGTCGGGCCGGGCGTTTCGCCTGAGACTTCCCCGCCGTGGTCGTGAAGCTTGGCGGTTGCAACAGGTTCACGGACGGAGGGCGGGGCCTCTTCAAGATCCGGCTCTCTTCGTAGCGCCGCACGCGCTCGTTTGAAAGTTCGCAGCAGCTTCGCGACTGGGGGGCGAGGGGGGGTTCAAAAGATGGCTCTCGCCTCAGCGCCGCGCGCATTTGTTTCGAATGCTTGCAGCAGCTTCAGGGACGGAGGACAGGTCCTGTTCAAAATGTTGCTCTCGCTTCAGCGCCGCGCGCATTCGGCTTCTGCAGCAGCTTCAACGATATTGCGTTTTTTTCAAATGTGGCTCTCGTTCTAGCGCCGCGCGCATGTGCTCAACAGATCTACGACTGTTTCAAGGGTTCATATGGTTGAAGCCCCAGGACGCAGCAGGCATGTTGATTCGTGGTGCTGGGGTGCCAGGACTGGTGTTCTGGCACGATTTAAGACTGTCAGGGCGCCACAGTCTCGCTGATCCGCGGCGTGAGAGTGTCAAGAAGACAGTAGGGGTCCTGAAGAAGGAACCATTTTCGTTGGGGAGGGGCTCGGTGTTCCTTGATTGGGCTGCAGTTTGCCTTCTGTATTCCTGAGGTTTCCCATGGGAAATCGAAGTTCAACTTATGGAAGAAAGGGGCCTCGTTCCTTACTTAGGGTTCCTTAGGTCAACGCCCCGACTGTAGTGTCTTGGCATGGCTTCTCCTCGCCTCGTCCCCCTTCGGGCGTTCTGTTTTTTTTTTTCTCGCTGCCTCTCGGCGCTCCGCCCTTTCCTTGCCTCTTGGGGCCTCCCGCGGGTCACCCTAAAAATCCCCCGTTTTGGGGTGACCCCTCCAGCCCTCCCTGGGCGCGCTCCTTTTGGCCCTCAGCGCTGGGAGAGCGATCTGAATATCGATGCACGGCCGCGTGGCCGACATTGTAGCGTCTCAGCCTGGGCTGGCTGGGAGCGGAGAAAGGGTTCTGAGTTGTACCGCATACGCCTGGGATATCCTTCCCCCCTCGTCTCTTTCCTCCCGCTCTCGCCTCCCGGAGGCGGAGCTCCGGCTAGCCCCTCGGGGTGGGCCGGCTTTTCGCCTCCTCTGCCTGTCTCCTCCTCGCTCCCCCCGTGCACGTCGTCTCACTCGGCCCTGGACGGTGGCCGCTTGCACGTCGTTCTGCAGGAACGTTCCTCCCCCCCTCCGCCCTCCTCTTCCTCCTCTTCTTCCTCCGGGTGTGGTGTTGTTGTCTTGTCGCCGTCATTGCGTTAGATTATACACTGCTGGATATTGCCATCACGACTTACTTACAATGCTTTCTTAGCATGTTGCGTCGTGTTTTTTTTTCACCCGCTTCGACGGAGGTTCAGGTAGGCAGACGGTCATTCTGTAACGCGCATCGCGGCTCGAGGCCGTGCACGGCTGGCGGTGCACGGTGCGTTGTTTTCAGTCGGTGGCACTTGCTCGCCTATGGCAGGTTGGCTCGTGCACAGTTCTGGATTGCAGTGTGTGTCTTCCAATGTATTGACCTTCAGCTGCGACCGTTTAGGTTGCCACCTCACGGTCCCAGCCTCTCTCTTTCTTCCTCCTCTCCTTCCCCTTCGCTCCTCTGCTCCACGCCAGTGTTTTTTTTGGTACTTCTGGGATGTTGCTGTAAATAAAGTCACTGGTCAGGTCAGCCGCGTATCGCCACGGAGTGCGCGTGTTACTCGAGATGATGCGGTCGCCCCCTTTCCTCTACCTCCTTCTCCAAAACTAAAGAATCGTGTCTTGGCACGGTTGAGGCTGAACAGACGGTTGTCTTCAAATGGGCCACTTCCCGCAATGACATACTACTATTGTAGAGACCTTTGAAGAGGGAGCTTGGAGGGAGGATGTATCGCAGCATCTTTGTTGCGCCTTGGACTTACACTGGTCCTCCTTCTCCTCCTCCTCCTCCTCCTCCTCCTCCTCCATCGCCTCTTGGAAGCAAGTTTTCTGTGTGATGGGGATGGACCAAAAGGTAATGGAGTCGAGGCGAGGGGAGAGAGAGAGAGAGAGAGAGAGAGAGAGAACAAACAAACAAACAAACAAAAAGAAAACAGAGAGAAAGAGAGAAAAGCCGTGTCGCGTCGAGCCTGCGCCGCTCGGGCCCTCGGGCTCGCCGCGGGTCTCCGCTGACGGCGGCGCCAGACCGTCGCGCTGCGCTGGCGGCGGCCCGTGGGGCCACGCAGGCCGTGCACGCGGCTGCAGGCCTGGCGCCGGGCACGGGGGCCGTGAGGCTGCTGCGCACCGCGGAGGGCATCTGCAGGGCCGCCGTGGCGATGCTCGAGGCCCAGCTTCGAGCCCCCCCGGCGGCCGCCGAGAACCCGCCTCCCGGGGAGGCCCAAGCAGCACCGGCTGCTGGCCCAGCAGCGGCGGCGCCGCCCAGTGGCGCCCTGAGCCGCCGCCGTCGCGCGCGGAGGGCCAGATGTCGCGCGGTGCTGTCGATGGGCGTGCCGTCGATGGATCTTCCGGGGGGAATGCGGCGAGGGTGGTGGTGGCGGCCGATGCGGCGGCGGAGCTGCCACGGCAGGCAGCGGCGGTGCTGGTGCTGGTGGCGTGCCCATGGGCCTCGCGCTCGTGCGCATGCCGACGGCGGCGGAGCCCACCGCGGAGGACGGGGACGAAGAGATGGACGTGCTGAGCGACGAGTGGGCCCGCACGGCCCCCGCGCGGCGCGCCCAGCCGCCACCTGCGGGCCCTGGGCCGAGTCGTCGCGATGTCATCCTGGCGGCCTTGGCGGTCGCGCCGGGCTTCAACCTCTGCTCTGCGGAGGTCTGGGCAGGCGAGCCGTTGGAGAAGCTCGAGCAGCTGACGCCCTGGTTCCAGCCCGAGCTAGCGGCGGTCAAGGAGCTGGGCAGCTGACGGCAGCTGCAAGCAGGCCGCTGCGGCGGCAGGCGGGGCGCTGCTGGCCGCGGCGCGGTGCGGCCCCCGTCCGAGGATTTCGGCGAGCCGCCGATGGTTTTCGTTTGTGTCGTCGTCTACGGCTTCGTCACGGCCGGGGGGGTCCCAGGCTCCTCAGGTGGGGCCAGGGCCCCCCGCGGCTCGGGCGGGCGCGAGAAGCGCTCCTCCTCGGGCGAGAAGGTTCCGCCCGCCCGCGGTCGCCTGACGGCCGTTGGCGGTGCGAAGCGGTGCGCAGAGAGAAAGAGAGAAAGAGAGAGAGAGAGAGACACTGATCAGTGAGTCGTCGTCTCGTGAAGTGAGGATGGGGCCAGTAGCAGCTCCAGTTCGGACGCGTCGTCCTCCAGTTTTTCTGATTTGCTTCCGTTATTCTCTCTTTCTCTCTCTCTCTCTCTATCCGTCCGTCATCCCCTCCTCCTTCCTATCTGTGCTTGCCTTCCCCGTTCGTTCCGAGACTACACGGGAAACTCGATGCGAGATTTTCGCAGTAGCAGTAGCAGTCTCACACGGCTCAAGGCTCAAGCGTTTCAAGGGCGCATTCGGGCTCTTCCCATCACACCTTATCCCTCTCTGACTCCTTCCTTTGCTGGCGATGGCGCGCACGCGTCTGGCCTGCCCGCTCGTTGGAGCGCCCCTGGCCGTATCCGACGAGCAGGGCCGTTGCCGGCGCTGCGGCCAGACGCTACCCCGCGCCGCTGCTAGCGCCGCCGCGGCGGCCGCGCCGCCGCCGCCGCCAGGGCTTCCCGCTCCAGGACAGGTCCACGCTCCGCCAGAGCGCATGGACACCGAGGGCGCGGGCTCTGGCGCCACGCGGGGCTTGGCGGTCTTGCAGGTCGACGACGACGACGCGAGCCTCGCCGGGGTGCCGCCGTCTGCCCGGGACTTGGACCCGAGTGTCCTCTCCATCTCGCGCCGCTTGCTCACCGATTGGATCGAGGATGAGGTCCCGAAGAAGACTTTTGATCTCGTACAGGGCCGCTCCGCCATCCGCAGCACTGACGCAATCCCGGTCGTCTATCCCTACGCGCGGCAGCAGCTTCGCGAGATTCTCCGAAAGTGGGCGCGCGACGTAGACGCAGTCGACCCTTGGCAGGCGCCCGGGTTCTCCATGCATGAGGGCCCCGGCCCCGCGGAGACGAGCATCGCCTCCGGATTTGGGGTTGCTTCTCTTTTGTGCCCGGTATTTTCCAATGCCGATTGGAGGACAGAAGATCGGACTTAAGGCCACGCAGATGCTCGCGCGCTTCGAGGCTCACGCTCGTCGCTGCTCAGACGAACTCCCCGATGTGATTTCGCGGCGGAGGAAGCTGCGCCCCAATCGCACCCCTCTTTGGGAGGAACTGGGCCCCGCGGCCGTCGAGGTCCTCCGGCATGTCGGCTGCGACAGGAACACCCTATCTCTTACGCAGTGGTCGAGTGCGAACATGTGCACGAAAGCCCAGTTGAGGGAGATTCGCGACTTCGCATCTCTGGCTGAGAAGGGGGGCGACAAAATTTGGGAGAATATCCCAGTTGAACACGTAGTCATGTGGGTACCCACCGATGCGACTGC